GGTTGGTTCTGTGCAGTCTATCGAATAAAGTAGTGCTGCTCCTTAAAGCAGCTACGATGCCAGCAGTTAGCAAAAGCTCCCTCTACTGGGTAGGTACCTACATAGATACTTAGAGAAATGTAAGAACGTAAGATGCAAGCAGTATTTTATTACTATGTCAGAGCTCATGGCAACGTGACTTATTTAAACTACCACAGAGATACAGCATATTTACAGGCATGTGGTGATGCACCAAGGTCCTGTGAGAACACACCAGTTACAAGTCACTAATAGCAAGCAAACTTCAGAGCTTATACAAAAGTCAGCGTTCCTAGCTATTACACAGCATGCCTGCAAACAAGCTTTTGCTATCAGGCACGCTGATGTTATAACTATGTTAAATTACCAGTCTTTGAAACATTTCAGATATATACAAAGCTCTCAGTCACACAAGATGCAATTCTATTGACTCATCAAGGCATGTCAGAAAATTTTCAACAACAGTGCCAGAAAATTTTAACAGTGGCCCACATTCTGCCTCCCAAAAGAAAAGCTCACAGTTGCTTTTGCTTGGAGCCTGCTGCTGGGCGGTGTTGTTTGTTTGGTTTGTTTTGAGGAGAGGATTAACATCCTCTGGTAAGTCCTGTGGTTTCACTTCCTCTCCCCGTTACTATTTCCCAGAATTACTCTGTGTTAATCCATATACAGGGATGAAGGAGGTGGGAGAAGCTAAGCAAAGGGAAGGGAAATCAGTGTTTGCCCCCAAGAACAGCTCGTGCTGTTAGAAGGCAGCAAAGCACAGAACAGTCATGCTGTTGCTCACAGCCACAGCAGAGCAAAGGTGTGATTAATCTTTTGAAAGCTATCAAGATGAAAGCATTCTAAAGATGAAGGGCACTTCATCTTCTAAATGAAGAGCGCTGATAAGGGTATTTGATAAGGACCAAAAATGCTTATCTCCATTCACTGAATTCATTGCATTCTTTTGTCAATCCAGCCCCACAGGTCCCAGCTTCCCTGAAAATTCCAAATTTTTCATAGTGCCCTGAAGAAAATACTTCAAAGGAACCAGCAACAAAAAAACCATTCCAATCTGTGGTGCAACTACCCTTTCCAAGACCAACTGATCTAAGCCCACATCTACTGAGGACACAAATTCAGCAGGCTCCAATGAATACCTGTTGTTTCCTTTGACCGGTGATACCTCAGAGACTTAAAAGAAGAACTAGCTCACTAGAATCCCCATTCCTCTGTTATTCCCACTATTTCTTGGTTTCTCGTTATAGGACTTAACTAGCTTTGACAAAAGAATTCACTGCTACCAAAAGGTTTGAATCAAGAATCATTCACTGAGATTCCCATGTCTCACTGGAAGCTTCCTGAACAACCAAACCATTTGTTTGACATTTCTGTTGGTAGTTTTCTGTATTTTGCCAATCACTTACTGTACAGAAATGCTGCTTTTGTTTCAATCTTCAAGTTTTGACCAACCCACAGAATGCCTAGCTGCTCTCTGCCTCTCATTGCATCACGTTTTAAGCCTGACCTTAGCCAGAAAACATTGCTGGCAGGATTGGAGTTATATTCTTACTAAGGTGCCTCCCTTTGCTAAGAGATTTTCTAAACATATCCCATTTGGAATTTTAAGGAGTCTGTTTATCTGTAACATCAAGCTGCTATATTCTTTCAACACACTGCTCCATTCCCACATTAAACCCACACTCAAACTGTCTGTGTCAGTATTGAACTTATTTATATTGAGTGGCCCAAGCTAAAACAAATGGTCACAGGAGCCTTTTAAGCAAAAGAAAACCCAAGTTGTATCCTGCTGGTGAGTGAAAGCATTACACCTTTTCATCCAAATTCTGCCTCGATTTTGCAAGATGAGCAAACTGGCAAATGAGCTTCCTGTCATCAGAGAAAGAGCAGCCAGCCTCACACAGCTCCCGTTTCCTCTCCTTCACTGATTACAGGATCGAGATAAACGTCTCTGTAGAACACACTGCATTTCACAGGATTCAATTTCACACTGGCAGCCTGAAGCTTATCACAAAGCATTTGTAAATGAATCAGTTCTTCGATAGCGTTGGCATGCATGGAGCTTCCACATAGGAACAACAAGCAGCCTAGCAGGGTGATGCCTTGCAGCAATCTCTCCATCAGCACTTCTCAGAGGAAGCATTGCCTGCCATGGGGGCCATTATCTGAAACAGCAGCACAATGTGTTCATTGCAAACAAATTGCCTTCCAGCCACTGGTTTTCTACTCTTGACAAGTCTTTTTTTTTAGAGAATTCAGATCAAGCTTGTAGGGATTCTTACTGCCTTTTTTTTTTTTTTTTTTTTTTTTTTTACCCCCATTACACATAATGATCATCATTACATTTGATTCATCATAAAAACAGTGCAAGTGCTGAGTTAGTAACAGGCTGATTTTCAAAGCCAATATTCCACATGTGTAAGCGGAGGTGTATGTTCCCTATCAGTTTCCTCTTGAAAGACAATCCAGGACAAACTGTTCTCTAGGCAGACATCTTTGAGCTGAGCTATCAGTTTAAGTTCAGTAAGCACTCGCTCATGCATTTCCCAGATCCCACTGCACAGATGAAGCAAATTTTCTCTATTAGCAGCCCAAACCTCACTTTGCCCTTCAGCTTCTCATCTTTTCTCTTCAGCTTCTGAAACAAACTAGAAAAGCTTCTCATTGCTCATTTCTTCACACTTACCTCACCTCCTTTTTTTAAGCACTACATCATTACCATTTTCATCCTGCTTTGGGAATCAGCATCACTCATCCAAAAAGAGCACTGAGAAGAGCCTCTTTTTCCACTGCACGTGTTGGATGCACTCCTATAATCGCAAGGCTGTGACATCCTCCCTGGAATACGGACATCTTCGAGGAACCTGAACAGCAGCTGGTAACTTTGCAGCCTCACAGTTCTTTGTATCACTGATAATTCATTTGTAATTTTGACCTGGAAGTCCAACCCCAGATGAGGATTATAATTTAGTTTACCACCATTTTTTCCTTAGAAGCATTGTAGAGTATCTGAGTAAAACTTTACTAATCCTCACAAAAATCAGTGAGCTTTCTCTTCTTTCCTTCCTCTCCTGGCTACCAGTGGTGTTCTATCCAGCCCAACCCAGCTGCTCCAACCAGCCTCTTTGTACCAGATACACACGCCGTGCTTTTCTCCCTCCAGAGCTCAGTTCTGCTCACGAAGTACCACACTGTCAAAGCTTGCCACTAGAAACAGAGCTCTCAATGGAAGCTTTCTGGGCTGTAGCCCCACAGGCTGAACTTCCAAATGCCTCTTGTTCTTAATTTCAGAGCCATAATTTGCCTTTAGGTTAGCCATGCCTGGGAGGTCTGCAGTTCCCTTTACAACTCATTGAGGATACAAAATTTCCTTTAGACAATCTCAGTTACTCAGAAAAAAGACATATTGTTGTCTCTGAGCACAGGAAGGTCAGTCCCCTCTCTGCTCTGGGCTTCTTTGTAGGGCCTGCCTGCTTCATGAGCAGCAATGCTAGAACTTCCCTAGACTCAATCCACTTCTACCAATAAAACTTATCCAGCAACAGAATCGGTTCATCTGGGTACCTCCACTTCAGACAGGCTTTCTTGTTTCAGATGTCCTAGGAAGACAAATAGTTGTCTTTGCCATGTATCCTGAATAGGGATGCTACCATGGTCCCTGTTTACAATGAGGTTTCCCTAAGCGCCTAAATAACACAATTAATCATTCTTCTCTCTGATTAGACATGCTACTTTTCTCCTTGGAAACTGAGTATCTGACAATGTTAGCTTCAAGACAACCGGACACCAAGTATATTGTATTATCTGAAAACAAAAGGAGCGATTAGCATGCTAACTTCCTGAGCTGCCTCGCAGAAAGGCAGGGCACACAATACGAGGACAAAAGCCTTCTTGGCCATGGCTATTGTGGGAATGCAACCTATTTCCAGAGCTAGTGACATTAACCTTCAGCTGTAACACACTTCGAGCAGCACTTCAGCAGCAGAGAGGCTTACTGCTGTGAGTCTTGAATTAGGCAGCCCACTGAATCCCACACCTCATGTCAAATCCCTCAAATTTCAGCCATCTGCTGAATTCTCAGCAATGTCAGAGACATCAGAAGATACAGAGAACTGACCAGAGGGAGCATTTTCATTCAGAGACACTGACTTAACACATCAACAAAACTATAATTCCTTTCTCTGTAAAAAGAGCTCAAGCCATTTGATCTTAAACAGTAGCTCATGACAATTGCAATCTGAAGTAGATGACTGAAGCTGCATATACCCACTAACCACAAATACACTTTTCTATACTGAGGTTAAAAGAATATTTTTAAAAGATCACTTAAAAAATATGAATATTAAATACACATATGGGTATAAAATCTACCAAATTCAAGTTAGCTCAACACAGAAGGAAAATGTAGAACGTTGACATGCACACTGATTGCTTAACCAGATAAACCTGTATCAGTAGGCAGATCTCAGTGCAGATTTCTAAGGCAGAGATGCTTCAGCTGACAATAAACCTAGAGCAGCCCTTACCTTCCCCTCAAAGCCCATTGTTACTTTTTCCATTTACAGACCCCAAATTCCAAGCAGCAGTTAGCACAGATGCAGCATGCACTGGCCCAAATACTATGAAAAGCTTAACTAGCACTGAAGTAAACGTAATTTGACAGTAAAGGCTCTGCCATAGCTTTATCTTAATATTTCTCATGTACATATCTAGTTGCTATTTTCAGCTTTTGGAAGAATACATCAAATGCTTCAACTCCTCTATCAGTTAGCTTCATGTTTTATGATGTAGAACATACAATATCACGATTTATCTAATATTAAACTCCACTTTTAGGTCAATATTTCCGTTTGCAGTTGTGTATTTATTACAATCAAAACCCTGAGGATTGTTGAGTCTTCAGAAATACAGCACCGAAATGCATACAGTACAGAATTGCGCCCACTCAACAGGCATGCAGTGCAACATTTATATCACAGGTGTTTCAAAATGTAGTTTTATTCCAGTGACTATCTTTACATAAATTTCAAAACAGCATCATTCAAACAAATCACAGTACAATACTTAAAGAATCTTTAGTATATGCTCCTTTATAAAAGGCTTTGACACAATGGAAAAATCAGTCAAGAAAAGCTCACGCTACCAGGTTTCTTGATAAACAAAATACCAGTGAATCCTGTACCCATGAGCACAAGTCTCCATCACAACGTTTTAAGACACCTCTTTAAATTAACAGGTTTAAATTTTGTTTAGCAGATGAGTTTCTACCACAACACTGTCCGTTAAGTTTTGTGCTTTCCAAAAGGCAAGCATACTGCTGAAATAAAATTCCCTACCCAACAGGAGAGAGAAATTCAGTAAACATGTATTTGTTCCACATTCCAGAGGAATCCAAGTTCATTTAAACTCTCATCACACTAAAACCAAGCGTATTCTGCTTATACCTTCTTCCTCTTTGTCTTCTCCCCGGAGTCTAGTTTCCGTTTCTTAGCATAAGCTGGTTCATCATCTTTTTCATCATCTTTAAACAAAAGACAGAATTAAAAAAGTCAGCAATGCCATATTTCTGTGTTGAACACCATCCTCATCTGTGAACAATTAACTCGGCCACATCTGAGACGCCTGGAGTAAAGGCACAGGAATATTAACAAACAGCATCCTCATTTTCAGAATGTGGTCAGAACAGGAATGTTTTGCTGTTTCAACATAGCTCAACTGAGGGAAGGCTTTGTTATGGTAGACGCTGCACAGTACCTGCCCCCAAAGAAGTACTGTTTGAATAGATAAGATAAAAAGCTGGAAAATATGTTTTAGAAGCAGAAAGTAATGTTAAAGTCAACAGGGGAGGAAATTAGGCAAAATTTATCCTCAGGAAGAGCGCTGATGTATTGGAACAGGCTACCCAGAGAGGCGGTGGAGACACCATCTCTGGAGGTATTTGAAAAACGTGGAGGCGTGGCACGGAGGGACGTGGTTAGTGGGCACGGATCAAGGGCTGAACTACAACCATCTATCTCACTGGTCTTTCCACACTCAACGGTTCTGCGACTCCAATGATTGCCGTATGCCACAGGATGCCCTGCAGCTGGGCACCAACCCGGCCGGGAGCCCCAGCGGCAGCATCAGCTCCCCTCGCCCGCCCTACCTGACACCGCGTGCTCCTCCTCCTCCTCCGGCAGGAACCTGGCTCTGCCGGCGGGCCGCGGCGCGTCGTCGCCGTTGTCCTCGTAGATGTTGGACCACTTGATGGCCATGTCGACGGCGGGGGCCGGCGGAGGCTTCTTCTCGGGCGGGCTGTACACCTCCGGCGGCGGCACGGCGTTCGTCTTCCACGCCTTAAACTCCTTGGGCGGCTGCGGGTGAGAGCAGAGAAGCAGTCAGCCCCACGTGCCGGGCCTCAGAAGCCGGCGGACAACCCGGGGCAGGGCGGGGCGGGGCAGCCCCCTCCCCCCGGGCCGTACCTCCTCGGGCGCCCGCAGGACGCGGCTCTCCCAGTCGATCTGCTTGTTGAGCGGGTTGTAGAGGAAGGCGGGCGGCTGGGACACCTTTCGGAAGAGCTCGTCCGGCGGCGGCAGCTTCGGCCGGCTTCCCGGGCTGCTCCCCGCCGCTGCGCCGGCTCCTGTCTGCCGCTCCTCGGCCGAGGCTTCGTCGGCCTCCGAGTCGGAGCTGGAGCTGCCGTAGGCCGCGAAGTAGCCCAGCGGATCCTCTCCCTCCGCCGCCATGGCGGGGCTGCGCAATTCGCCGCCCGCACGGAAACCGACCCCGCGCCGAGGGTTCCGCCCGCCGGCCCCGGCCTGCATTGCGGGCGGCAACCGGCGTCCGGGAGAAAGGGAGGGAAATAACTGGCCTTCCTGCATTCGCACTTGAGTAGCGAGCGTTCGACCCGGTAAGTTAGGGCTTAAAAGGAAAAAGGACCACAGATGAAAAGAGAATGAGACGTGAAACTGAGTCAACCTCCGTTTCTCTTTTTCACACCCGTGAGCTTCATTGGAGGGAACAGAGAGAAATGGCATTGCCCTCAGCCTCGGGGCAGGTAAGGCTCCCAGCACCGCTCTGGGGCACCTCCACCCACATCAGCTTGTGGCAGCTGTTGGGCAGCATGCAGGCAATCAGGCCCCGCAGCTGGCATTGGAAAGCAGGAGGAACTCCCAGCACTCTTGCTGTTATTCAGACTCTCAGGTTAGCAATACCAGCCATGAGCCACACACAGCAGACAAGGTCTCCATTTCACATGTGTGCTCTCTCTCCACGGGGCTCTTCAAGGCAGTCCTACCTTCATGCCCTCTTCAAGGCAGTACCAACACAGATTTCACACTGTCACTCTTTCCACCAGAGACAACTTCTGTAAAAAGAAGAAAAGCCTCTCACACATACAAAACCAAAGCCACCCATCCAGGTACTGGCACGAGCTACTCCTAGAGTCTCTTAGAGCCTACACATTTTAATAAAGGCAAACAGGAAAACAAGCAAATATACAAAAGAATTTATTCAAAAGTCGTGCTAAAAATATTTCATTTTTCTTAAAAATGCCCATTATAAACATTAATAAGATAATACATTCATTTAAAGTCTCAGGTTAAGAAGCTCCATTGCAGGAGCGCTCCCCACACGGGCAGGCCTGCTGCTCACTGTGCAGCGTGGCAGGCAGCTCACACTGTGTGTTCTGACATACAACTGCCAAGACAGTTTACACAGTGACCTAAAGCCCTTTTTCAGTTAAGGCCAAGCTTGCTCTCTCCCCATTTACAAGAACCCAAGAAGGGACCCAAGTCTAGACTTCCAAGGAAGTGAAAACAAGGAGGGAAAAAAAAAAAGTTTGAAAACACACATGCAACTCTTCAAGTCGTATACAGCAACCAAAGAGATATCTAGACACAGACTTCGATGCATCCTGAGTATGGGCAACTGCAGTACAAGTTAAGGGAAGAAAGATCTGCACTTATCCTTTATTTCATGTTAGAGAGCAAGATTTTACTTAAATTTAGATCCCAGAGCGCCATCTGTACTGATGAGTTTCACTTGGAATCATTTTCACCATCTTGAAGGTCTTTGGACATTTACAAGACCAGGCTTTTTTATAAATACACAAGCAGAAGCTCACATTATAAGCAAATGTAAGCTATTCACGTACTGAATATGGACGACAATTGAACACTGCAGGTCATTTTCACCTACTCCTGAAACCAGAGCAAACATGAAATGAAAGTGTAGAGACTATGCAGAGGTCCTGCAGAAGGCCTGTCTGCGCAAAAGCAAAACACAACAGGTATCACCTGGCTTTCGTCTTGAATGGAATTACACAGCTGTATGAAAACAAAAAGAATTCAAAGCAAGAAATACAAAACTTGTCTCCCGATATACTGAAAGCATCATTTTGAAGAGCAGCATTACAGAATGCTGCAAGAGTGCATTTCCAAGAAAAAGATCGTCTAGTCATTTTAAAGTGGTTAAGGCAGAGTATAAGAGGAATATTGCATTATATTGTGTTCAGAAATACGAGAACCTTCCCATGATCAAATAGTTTAAATGCCTTCAATTCTAAACAACTGTAAACGTGTCTGTGTTGAAGAGCAGGTATCTGAAGTACAACACTTCCAAGAATCTTTCAGTTAAGGGCACTTCCTTGCCACGAGACTCCTCTGCTCACCCACCAGGACAAAACACACAAGCCCTAGTCCTTAACAGCATTATACAAAACATTTTCTGACAGCCCTCACGAGTTTTAAAAAAAAAACCTTTCCTTTCTAAAAATTAATGAGAATTTGTATTTAAAGTGCATTTCAAATCATGATTTTCTAAGTTATATTACAATAATAACATGCTAGGGCTTGTGAATATGTACTTGCTGGCTCAAAATCACTTTGATATTGAGTGCCTTTCAGTTTACTGGTCGGACAAAGAAAGTCCAGAAAATTAAGAGCCTTCTTGTGAATAAGCATAGCTACAGATTTAGTAAGGCTTTTTTTTTTTTTCCCCCCCAAATGAAAATATTTTTTTGCAAATTATACTCATATATGAAGGACACATTAATTTAGTGCATGAATTTAAGCTTTTCTGCATGTGAGCTTAAGCTTTTAGTCCAGGACATTACTTTTCAATACTCAGTGCTTTTCTTAATCACTGCTGCTTTTTCACTCACCACAAAACATTAAAAAAAAAAAATGACATTTGTTGTTACTATTCTGTAACTGCAGCTTAAGTACCTGCAACTAAACGTGGTATCTTAAATATATTGGTTTAAAAACAAAGCAAACAAACAAAAAAAAGCAAAACAACAAAGAAACAACTTCTGCTGGTATGGTACCATAATTAAGAAACAAAAAACCAAACTCCTTAAGAAAAACAAAAGCAGCTAGAGACACTCGATTACAAAAAAAAAAAAAAGACTTTAAAAACATCAAGTAGCATTGATTGTTCTCTCTGATTACCCAAATTAATGGTTTGAAAACATTTTTTTACCCTTAAAAGACTGAAGCTCAGTTTCAGTAGCATTTGGATGAACAGACAAATGTCACTAAGTTCACTGTGGATGAAGAGAACGTGACCTTAAAGGCAAAAAGCAATTGTCACTGGAACTAGTAGATGGTTCTTGCTGTTCTGACTGGAGCTCTGGAGGGAGAGGGGGTGCACCAGGGTCTCCAGGGCCTGGAAGAGTGGCTGAAAAAATTGCACTCTCAGCATTCCCCATCTCTGCAACAGGTAGATTCATTGAATGAAGAGAGACAGCAGACATAAATGCAGCAGTGCTATAATCTTCTTCTGGATTATGCATATGAGTAGATTCTTTGTCTTTTGTTTTATCAAAAAAATTGGATTCATCAGAATATGATCTAGAAAGATTATTTGTTCCTCCATACAGTGAGGTCAGACATGTGCTGCAACTTAGACCTGAAACAAAGAGCAGAGAATAAAATCAACATCAGGATACATCCTTTAACTGTGCTCTGAGTTAGTAGTGGTAAAGCTGTCATTAAGGATCAGCTGTGTCCACTTTTAACAGACTGTCTTCATCTTACCTGTGACATTCCAGTACTAACACCAAATCAGAAAACACAAGCAGATCATCTAGTCAACCACGTGAAAAAGTTTTCTCTGTATCAGCTACTAGTTGATAATGGTGCACTGTAATTGAAGCTTCCCTCTAGGAAGTCACTTCAGCCCTCTGACCTATCTTTGGATAGAATATTCTCACTATAATCTTCAAACTAACTTTTTAAAAGCTCAGCTGCATGGTTCTACTTCAAAATAGACTGCATTTGACAGCTGCTATACTTGAAGCCAAACAGAAATTCAACTCTTTCATCTCTGGAGTTAAAAATATACTTTCTTCCTTCTTATTTATTTATGGGTGTGGAAGAGGAAGTAAGGGTTTTGGGTTAGATACCTTATACTTTCTTTTTCTGCCTTCAAATATGAGTACATATAGCTACTTAAGTTTTCTATGTCAACAAAACTTCTGACTGCATGAAGAAAGAGATTAACAGTCTAATTTTAAGTTCTGACATTGAAGGCAAGAATAAGAATTCCCCCTCATGCTGTGTTTGCAGGCTTATCTTCTGCTGAGATGCAAAGTTTAACAAAACCAAAGCATCCTGCCACTGCAGCAAATAGCTTCAACAGCAATGCAAGATGGAAGATAATCACCTATTCTGAGTTCTGAATTAGAAGCTCACGGAAAGTAGAACTGAAGCATGAAACAAACTTATTCATTAGAACAACACACAGCACAGCTGTTTTCTCTGATCTGTTGTTTATTACATGTTCAGAAAATAAAGAAGTAAAACTAGCAATATATGCCCAGGATTTTAAATGGAAAACTATGAAATTTTCAAACTATGCTGTCCCAAAAACTAGAGGAAGCAAAAAAAAAATAAAAAAAAAAAAAAAAATCTGTAAGGAACACACAGCTGTAGGACTTTTGTTTCACAGCTCCTCAAAATAAAACTTCTGTCTTACAGTACATTAGTACAAACTTCTCACCTTTGAGAGCTTCAAGTTTTTCATTTTTGACTTTCAACACTATGTCAGTTATCTTCTGTAACAGAAAGTTTTGTGTTCTTTCTCGCCTGATGGATTCAACCAAAGCATCCAGTCCCTTTGGATTTTCTGCCAAGTAGTCCAATAACTTCCCAGTTTTTTTCCTACTAGAAGATCGCGAAGAGATCTCCTCTGTGTCCTCTCTGGTGAGTATTTTCTTTGAACGTAGGTAATCAAAGTGTCTCTCAGCTATAATTTTGTCACACAAGTAAGGACGCATCCTTTCTAAAGCCTGAAAAACAAAACAAACATTAGTCGATCTTTCAGTCTTCCAATTTATTTAGAAGCTACACTGAAAAATCTTTATGACTTACAGGTTAATAAAATAGTTTAAAGATGCCACTACGTTATGAGCATATCATATGCAGAGAATTTTCTCCTTGCATCTATTTAAAAGGGAATTTTTTTTTTTTCCGAAATTTTCTAAAGGAAAATTCATCATTTTCCTGAGTGATCTAAGAATTTTTAATGCATACTAGCCAGTGGAGGCAAACACTGAAAATATTTCATTAAGTCTGTGTTTATCACATTTCAGAACCGTCTTTAAATAAAATGAAAAAAAATGAAACCAATAAAACACAAATAGCAGCCACTCATTTTGTCTACATTGTCACATCTCTACACCATTTGTATGCAGGACACACACTGTCATGATCAATGTTCTCTGCACATTGAATAACTGCAGTCTCAGAGCAACAGTATAAACATACTCACCGTTTAAAAGTTGCATTAGACAGACAGTTATTTGGGCACACCGCTTCACCACCAGATTACTGGCATCCACAATACATGCTCTTCCTTCCACAGATGCACCTACTTTGAACAGACTTACTGGCTGCTTTTTGTCTGTCCATCTGCTTTCTTTTGGTTTAAGGCTTTATACCACACACCTGGAGCAACCTGTGCAGCCCTGACACACAGCACCAATGCATGGAAATTAGCACAACTCTGATGACTGGCTGAAGCAAAATGGCGCTACCTCCTACAGCATAACCCCAGCTAACAAGCGTCAACTAGTCGCTTAACTCTTTTCTATGACCAGCAAAGAGAAGAGAAGGGGGAAAAAAAGATGCAAGTCTACCCCTGGGAGGGGATTGTACCAATTGCCTAAGAAGCCCTGCAGGCAGGCAGTTGCCACTGGGAAAGGTGAAGCAGAGCCCTGTTCCGAGCACAGAACTGCAGTGCCACTAAGTACCTTTGGGCACTGCAGCACCTTGTGTGGAGTCCCACCTCCACTCACACGCTATGGTTCCCCAGAAACAAACTAACTTTTATTACCATATTCAATTACAACACAAATATCAATTTACTTCAAAG